GTGAAGCTTTGTGCTTAACTACAAACAAAACTTTTTATTACCATTAATTAAGATTTAGCCCAAGTAGCACAGTGGTATGTCTGCAGACTTACAATGCTAGAAACCCGGTTTCAATACCTTTGGTGAGAAGAACACAGATAGCCTATTGTGTAGCTTTGTGCTTAACTACAAACAAAACTTTTTATTAGCATTCTAATGTTGATTTATGTTAAACTAATACATTCAATTTCAACTGAATAGAGTGAAACTTTCCAAAAAGTGTAGTACCATGATGATTAGAATACTTTAATGTATTTCAACGTATACAGAAATCAAAATTAATTTCAAGGTGTGATGACATGATGTGTATTTTATTATGCAATTTTTTGAAGGATTATAATTTGCTTAAGATAATATTTGTTTCTGTGATCTTCATATCAAGAATAATATATTAATATATATACAGTTATGTTATTTAGTTATTACAAAATACATTTTAAGGGCCATTAATAATATTTGCTTAACTAACTACATTTGTGTAAAATAAACACCTATATTGTACCCAATAATGGAGAGAGATTGCTAAGTTAAGAAAATAGTATAAAATATTAATATTTTTTCAGCTGTACATACTTTATCAGAGTATGGATTCATCATGCAAGAAATTGGTGCATAAAACTGTGAGTAATTGTCCTGATAGATTCACCAATCTGTGAAGTCTTGAAGATAATGGAAGAGAATAGCAGTTGGAGAATTAGTTAAAACACCATGATCCCAAGCTAAAGGAAGATAATGTACATTTCAATTTAAATAAAATGAGAACCAAGTTAGGTATGAAAAGAGAAACTGGCCTAGCAAAACTCCAACCATGTGAGGAAAAATTTTGTTGCCATGTTGAGCATGCATCATGGCAACCTCATAATTAAAAATTATGGCTGGGAAGAAAGTGAAACTGGTGCAAACCCTACTGTCTTTACAACACTAGGAGTATTTCAAGACCTGTTGTATTCATGTAGTACTAGAGCTATCTGCACTGGAACACTATTTTCAACGAAACTTGTCTTGCACTGAACTATGTCCATGTCAAGGAGGAGAATCATACTGTAGTCCACATACATACTCTACTAATGATAGTCACAGTGATGATAACAACATCTAAAGGATATTTTGACTTATAGGTGTACTTATTTAAATGAATTTACAAACATTCATTCATTTAAAATGTATATGTGTGTAAAAGTATGATTGTTTATATACATGTAAGTTAAAATGTTTTGTTAAAGTATAGTAAGTGTAACATATGCTTTATATAAACTATTTCAAATAATAATTTTAATATACTTTTTCGTTTTGTAATAACATAAACTAGAAAAGAAAAGAAGTAATAATTCAAGATTCTTCAGAGTTTCTATACTGAGCTTTCTAATTAATTGTAATAAAAAAAAACAGTTTCCATGATTCAAAAAGTAACTTTTACCATTTTTACATTTAATTTTATTTTCTCCAAATATATTTTTGTAACATTTTCGATCGTCGGCATATTCTTCTGAATTATTCGTTAAAAATAACGGTAAGTCCAGTCCACGTAAAGATAACTAATTAATTTATTTTCTCCATAACATTTACTTTAGCCTTCAGGTTACTTTCGCTCGTAGTCCTAGGCCTAAATTAACAACATTTCAACAGAAACTTCAAAATTAATATATTCCTTAACGTACTTGCTGAATTTCCTCGCTAATCGATCGATTACAAACTCATAATGTATATCTGACTAAATGACACTGAACTGATTAACAAACTAAGTTGGCCCGATATTTTACGTAATTACTAGTTTTCCATATTCCACAGGAAACTTGAGATCTTGCATCATCATGACGTCATAAGAATCCCCCTCTAGTAAACAAACATCTAAATTTAAAATATAGTTTACAACAATATTTTTGAAATAATTCAGAATTTATATGAACTGATCAATGAATAATGTATGTTACACGCCAGAGTTTTTTAAAAAAAGATCAGAAAAATTCAAAATTTTTTTGCAAGGTGGTTAAGGCGCTCAACCCCAATCTGCTGGTTGCAGATCAAATCCCAGCGCCAAATGTGCTCACTCTTTCAACCATAGAGACATTTTAGCACAGACATTCTAATCCGAATGCTATAAAAATATTCTGTAATATGTATATTGGTTTGAAACATTTATCATAATGTTTAATATTACGGTTATTATTTAAATGTGTGTATTTTCTAAAGGTTCAATTGCTATGTTTGTGTGTGAGAGAACGTTTTGTGACCTAGTTTTCAGGTCAGATTCCTTTGGAACCTCCGCTGTATTTTTAACTTTTTTGAATATGCGCCAATACCGGGATACATGCAGTAAAGAATTGTTTCTAGAAGACTTAAAAGTACCCGTTTTTTTCTCTCTATATATCCCCCCTCCTCTCTCTCTTTTTGTAGTAGTAAACGTATACAATTTATTAAGTTTGGTCAGTTTTTACTTCCATTATACGAGTATTTCACTTTCTCTGGGAAGTCAACCAATAGGCAGAAATGCAATTTTTTGAAAAAAAACGTTAAGATTTTTCTAGTTTTTAAAGACGATGCTATTTAACAGTACAAACTAAAAATTAGCGCATTTTCTTTTAAAACAAAAACAATAGCTATGAAAAGTTGTCATCTTAAAAATGTGCGATCTTTTCAAAAATCGTAAAAGTCACGCGCACAAAAGTTTAGTTTTCTTCTGATTTCTTGATGGCAAATAGAAGTGAATCAGTTCTGTATACCAGTTTCCAAAATAGATGATATACTGGTAATATAGAAATGATTTCGTTAAGATAAGTCAGATTTTACAGAGAACCTGTACCATTCCAGGTTTCCGTGCCGAGCTAATAAGAATACACAAAATAGTGTGTATAAAGTGTTATACCATTTGCACCGTGTCAGAAATAAATCCATCAAGTTTCATTATAACTTATCTACTTAATAATTTGCATTGATTATGACACTTGGAATTGAATTTAGGTTTAGAGTTTGGCTACAGCAGTTGTAATAAGTTAAGTAATCAGACTAGAATAGAATAGAATAGTTTAAACATTTGTTTAACAACAAGTAAAAGCTTGGAATGGTCTATTCTTTCACTGGGTGTGTGTGTGTGGGGTGGGGGGGGGGGTGTCTGTGAGCCAGACTATTCAATTATGTACAAGCCGTCCAGTGTCGGCTGACAATACGAAGAATTAAACTGTGACGGAATGCTACAAGTTCTTCAAATACACATAGAATGATAGGTTTCTTTTTGTGAGTGTAAAACACTTAAATACACCAGTTCGAAATAAAACCTTATTAAAATAGTATTGTTACGTCTCCGTTCGTTAGTTGATTTTCCGTAACTTCGTTCCCACGAAACTTTAGCGACACAAGTCCTTTCTTAATAAAACTGGTTTATTCTTTCTGAATATAACTTTACCGATACACTTATTTTCAACAGTCGCTCTATAACAAACGCTATAACAACGAACGTTAACTTGAACAATACTTTCTGACTGCAGTTCAATTACTCACTACCTACACACATTGTCACGTCGTGACCATCTTATATATACCAGCCAACCCCAATCTAGCAAATGCTAGAGCGCTCCCGAAGGAGCAGGATAGTTCTAGAAAACGGGTGGCGTGATACTAGTCACGTGATCTCGCTGACGCAACAGTATGTTAAATTCTGTTGGAATTTTAGCGTTCTCGTTTCGAGCTGCGTTTCCACCGGCAAATGCATAAACGGTTATCGATTATGTTCATCACCGGAAGTTCGAGGGTTTAAAAATAATAATAGTTCATACTGTTATTCTGCTCTTCAATTATATTATCGTAATTTTAAGCCCAATCGTTCATACTTTCGTGGCCGATCAAAATTAAGAGTACCTTAAGGCTAACCAAGATAGTACTATATATATATACAGATATATATGCGTTATTTAAAATTAAAAAAGTCCGTATGATTAAATGGATTTTCAGTAAAAGGGTTATGGAATACGAAATCTAACCTTAAAGTTAAATATCCATTTCTACAAACCTTTCTGCCTTTTTTTTTGGTTTGTTTTACAAATGCAACAGTAATAGGTGTACCAAGTTTTATTTGCAAAAGCTATTAACCGAAACAACGAGATCACAAAAACAATGAATAATAGTCTACCATCTTTCTTTTAAAACAAGAAAGAACACAAAAGCATATTAAAAAAAATTGGTTAGTAATATTTAGTGTGACGCATTTTCATATTTCAATTCCATAATAATACAAAAATATTCAGTCGCAAAATACCCCTGTAGTTCTAGTTTCTTTCTAGTTGAACTCGAAACTGAGTGAAAAAAAAAAACCACCTCAAAAAAGATGGAAATAAAGTATCATATTACTTATAAACTTTTGCAGAGTAAAGTAGAGCTAAAGATAATTAGAAGGTTCTCATTACGCCTCAAGTTTTCCCATTTCTTTACAGAGCGGAACGTGTTAAGGTGCAACGTCATAGATAATAAAATCTATGATAACAGAATTTCACATCATTACTCTTAAATGTTTTCATTTTACATAAGAAAAAAAAGCTAACTTGTCAAAATACTTTATTGTTGTTGTAATCCCTTGGAGAGATAACAGTACAATTGAAACTGTAAACACGGATTCCTAAGGTAGTAAGTAATATAATTCGCTTATGGAAAAATAATTTCCCATGCAATTAGGCTTAATATATTTGAGCTCCGATTTTAGGAAGGCCTGCATCATATTGATTGTTATTAATTTACCAATATATAAATAAATAGCCTTTTAGACACGTAATAAATATATATATATATATATTTTACTTTTATATTGTTTTTGAATATTATATCAATACACACTTAAGATTAATGACTGGTTGTTAATTATTTTGTCAAGTCAAGTTTTACAAATTATATCAGTTAGGAAAGAGTGAAACAGTTCCACAACCTCAGCTCAGGTGAACAGCTGACCAACTCCGTTCCGTGCTCCGAAGCACGGCCAATCCTACTATATAAAGAAGTCGCCATAAGTTATTTTAAACGGAACTGAATAAAAAACTTTTTTTTTTTTTTGTTATCTATAACTAGACATGTCGTTTAACAAGTGATTTTGAAGGTAAAATACTATTGGTTATTTTTAAGCCTTGATAACAATACCAACGCATTTTTGCTACAGAATCCATTGATTGCAGAACTATTAAATCACCGATAGAAAGAAAGCAACTTATAGGAATATTTATTGCATGTCTTATTAAGTTGTTTCTTCTCGTACATCTTGAAAATAATCACCACTAAAATTCAACATTGTACAAGTCTAAATTTTAAACACAATTATAATTGGGTTTTAAATATTAAATTTTAACGAACGAAAGAGAAATGACTTAATATCCTACAATTTAGCCCTGAGAAACATGAAACTCGGATATAATCCAGAGTGCGGAATTAAAACAAACAGTGTGCTCTAATAAAAATAAGATGGTCTAAGTACACGTTATATTAATTTATCACTAAATCTAATTTAACTACTTCCAAGATCCTTCTTCAGGGATTCCAGTTCTGGTATTTTCTTGTATTCTTGATTCACTGTAAAGAGCTGAAAGATTAAGAAATAAGCTTGGTTGGTATGAAAAAGTTTAATTCTCCAATACTTGAGCATCATATAAATTACTCTAGATGTGTAGATTAATTTCTAAAGGGCATATATCCTACATGATATACATCGTTATTGTTCTATGAATAATTAAATACATCCAACTTAAATTTCAGGTACAACAATCATTAGGATAATTAAAGATATGTCACGCGACGGAAGCCATTTATTAATTAAGAAATTTAAAGTCGAACATACGTAAAGCACGATATATCAGACAGACTGTTTATCAGTATTGTCGTTCATATAGACATATATCATTAATATCCATTACAGGACAAAGTTGTTCACGACGTGGTACGATATATTTACATGTACAAAGAACCGGATAGATAACTTTTAGTGTATTAGAACAACTGAAACAGAGATGATCGTCGTGCGTGTTAAACACGTTTGTTCAGTGTGTTAATGGATAAAAGTTTTGAACCGTGTAGCGCCTTATTACACTAGCTTACACTGGGGCTGTGTCGAAATATTTGCCTTCATTAATACTAATAAACAATTTATCATGTAACAAAATAATCCTCCCTCAAACAGCTTCATTTTAGCTATTGAGCCTCAGTTTTATCATTATTTTCATTCCTAATGAGGGATAGGTTCCTGTAGAAAATAGTGAGTGGACTGTACAGAGTTACCAAAGTTTATCTTCCAAAAACCATTACTAAAAAACAAACACAGCGAATATTATAGTGAGTGGACATTGTTCAACCTAAATTTAACTAGTGTTCCTAACGTCACAAAGTTTATGAAAGTACAAAGCTCATAGTTTCACATTACCGAATATTCGAAGACGGATTTACGATTAAAAAAAAGTGTTACCAGTTTTGACATGGTAACTGTTTTGATGATGAATGGTTAAGCTTTATGGAAAAAAAACCTAAAGTTAAAATGTTTAGCTACATTATATAAATATATATCAATAACGTGATTGCTATACGTCTTATGTAACACTTCATCCCGACACGTTTCAACTGCTTGTAAATAAATACGCAGTTATAATCAATTTAAAACCTAAAGTTAAAATGTTTAGCTTCATTATATCAATAACGTGATTGCTATACGTCTTATGTAACTCTTCATCCCGACATATTTCAACTGTTTGTAAATAAATACGCAGTTATAATCAATTTAAAACCTAAAGTTAAAATGTTTAGCTTCATTATATCAACAACGTGATTGCTATACGTCTTATGTAACTCTTCATCGCGACATGTTTCAACTGTTTGTAAATAAATACGCAGTTATAATCAATTTAAGAACACATTTGTTTGACAATAAATAACCCAGAAAATTCGACCGAAAGTATAACGTCACGTTCACATAGGGTTCGGAAACTAAGTACAGTTAAACGTCACGTTCACATAGGGTTCGGAAACTAAGTACAGTTAAACGTCAAGTTCACATAGGGTTCGGAAGCTAAGTTGAATGCGGGTAATTATAAATTTCACTTTCCTATTTTGAATAAATCCAAAGTTACATGTAAAATAAATGTTCGTTTTAGCTAATGTTTTTATCAAAGACCGTACTATAGACAAGACAAAGTCAACACTTTAACTATGATGTCAACCAAACACCATTAATGATGTATGGCTTCTCTAGCTTTACTAAAATTGTATATTTAACGTTTATGAAGAAGAGCTGTGTGAAGTGAAATCCAGAAGTCAGAGTTAAATCAAGTTATACATAAAGTTATTTTTGCAGCAACATAAAAAAAAACGCCAGCAAAAATCGTAGAGCAAAGATACTTTAACATTTTCGAAATTAGTCTTACGATCTTTAAAGTGAGAGACATCATAAAAGCAAGTTTAAAACTAGATGTACTTCCGCAAGGTCCCCGAAAGAGTTCTGCTTCAAGACAGAATGAAACCAAAATTAAGAGTAACAAATATTTTATTGTTTTTAAAGTTTATATGTTATGTTATAGCCTACAAAGCGCATAATTGTTCTCATGATTCATGGTATGCGCACGTTTTACTTACGCCACGACAATACAAATTGCAACAATAAGCATCCCTTATGTGACGTCATTTTAGTGTCTAGCGACTGATTGACAGACACTACTGTATAATGGTGGAAGTTGTTAAAGCTTTTGGCCCCCTTTCGGGGAACAAATATTTAAGATTTTTTACAGATAGAAAGGAAAAAATACATAGCTACCAAAATTTAACCATGACGTGTATCCAAATATATTTCTTATCCTAGTAAAAGCTACAACAAGTTTAAACTTTTAACGTAGGTTTGTTCCTTTAACGTTTTCTTCCTTTAACGGATAAAACGTCGTAAGAAATCAACAACTAAAAGCAAGGTGACGGGCTATTATTGGAATGAGTTTTCATATTTATTCGAAACTTCACACACTTCCGATTAAAAGCTAATATATTATTGCAACTAAGAGGGTGTGTCTCAAGAGAAAAACATCACGTGCTGCCTACGTGCCGATTAATACGTACTCCACTCACAATTGATCGAGAAGACGATGGTATGTGAAACGGCACGGGGTTGTCGAAGAGGAAACAAGAGCTAAAATTACGCGTTTTATTGTAGTAATGGTCAGCCATGTAAACGATTAACGAAAAAAGTAAAACAAAAAACTCACATCTATAACAAATTTAATTTATTATTATTATTATTACTACTACTACTTGCAACGTTTCGGGGAGAAGACCTTCAAAAGGCAGTATAAACCGTGTTACATGGAAGAAAGGCTTAGGCAAAATCGTTTAAATTAAGGGTTAAAATATTGAGATTCTAAATTACTGCTGGAGCACGTCAACAAAAATATTGTTAGAAGGAACATTGTTAAAACGTTTGCATAAATAGTTTTAAAATGGAAAACAAGTATTAAAGTGATGGAAATTAGATTTTTATAAATTAAAAGCACAGAAAAGTAATAAAAAAATTCGAAAAATGATAAAGTAGTAATTTTATAATAATAATAATTAAGGGAAATGTGTGGTCAGAGTCAGCTGTAGTCAGTTAAAAAAAGTCATTAATTCTGTTGTGATCCGAAAGAATTTAGTTTAAATATAAGTTTAAATTCGGTGATGAGGAACCCACTTTTAGACTAATAATGGCTGAAGACGGCTTGAATGGGTAATGAAGAAAAACTCTAATATAAGTGTAACATAACAGCAATGATGTACCTGATGATGACAAAACCTTGTCGAAACGTTGTACATTTGCTGTTATGTTAAATTTATATTAAAGTTTTTCTTCATTACCCATTCAAGCCGTCTTCAGCCATTATTAGTTTAAAAGGGGGTTCTCCATCACCGATTTTA